CTCCTCCAGCCCCTTTCAATTTCTTTCGTCGAGCTCGAGGCAAGTCAGAGTCAGATTTTCTTTTAAATTGGCCAATATCAACACCAACTGATTCCAGCCATTCTTGAGCTATTTGACCACCATTTCTTGCTGTTTCTCCACTTGTGTTTTTGATGTTGTAGCGTTGTGCCAAATCAGACCAGTTGATGAGTGTACCAACCTCATGACTTCTTTCATTTGCTGTTTGTCCCAAATAATATTCTCAAAGTTCCCAACTGGGCTCTTTACTTTACTATTTGGCATATTTGAGGTCTTGTTGGGGGTCTTTTCAAATGCCATTGCCAGCCGTTCCCATTGCCTTGCTCTCAATGATTGAGATGAAATTATAGGTACACACAATTCCCCCAAGTTTAGGCCAGCTGGTTTGCAGCAAAAAGTCCAGCCACCCAAACGTTTCAGTATTGATGACTAATAGTTTTATTTTTTACGCAGTCTACAGTAAAAATGTAAAAAATAAAGTATAAATACGGTATTACAATTTTATGTTTTCATGGACGAAAACCTGAGGAGGGGAATTGTGTAACAATGTGTTGCAAAGTCGGTGCCGGCTACACTGAATTCGGCAGACAGAGAACATTAGGATACTTGTGTATGTAGGTAAATAAGATAAGATAAGGCATGATGATGTAGCTTAGACCACCACCTTGTAAATAAGATGATTATAAAAAGAGGAAAATATTAGTAAAAGTCAGTTCTGGCAAAAGCTTGGCTAGAGTGCTTGTTTGGTGTGTAACATAAAATTCAACCACAAACGCTTCACAAAACGTTTTAAAGTTTTCTTTATAAAACTAAACTGCCTTTTGGCTTTATCAATAAACTTTGAGTTTGCATGGCGAACGCACCTCATATAATGGCGAAAGCATCACCTGTAATGCTTGAACCGCTGCGTATAATAGCGAAACCACCGCGTATAACTCTCAAACCACTGCGTATCGACAAAATGCCGTTTGATCACTTACGCCAGCTATGGCTTTCCATAAAAGAAAACCAAAGATGAAAGATGATCACATTGCTTGTTTACCTTATGCCTGTTTATTAGGTAAGAATAGCCTGCCGGCCCGGAAGCAGTGCATTGTGGTAGGCCGAAATATGCCGAAACGATCAAGATTTCATCTGCCTTATATATATATATATATATATATACATATATACATATATACATAGATACACAGACACACACATAGACATATACATATACATACACATACATATATACATATACATATACACATATACATAAAGATTAGGTCTGCTGCCTCGCTCGCTCGCTACGGCAGCAATAATATGTTTATTCCATTACACCATTACTGGTACATAGGATATATTACAATATAACAGATACATATAAATTCATATTTATATTAAAACAATTGTCAATTGACTTAAAATTAACAATTTCAATTTTTGCAACTGATCTAACTCAACTTTAATTTCGGGTAATGTCCTAGTATAAGTTAGCCATTTGTGTTTCTTGGGAAGCGAAATAAGCATGAAACATTTAAAAACATTCGAAAGGATATCTGACGTCCTTAATTTGCCTTTGTTTGCCTTTGGGAGGTTGTATTATTATAAAGTTGGTCTTTGTTCGCCTTTTGAATATGCAGCGTTTGGATTTGGGTATAAAAGTTTGGTTTTTATAGTTTCCCGCCCAAGACATTGTATACGTGAAAAATGACATACTTTTTAAGACGAATGAATAAATTGTTTATCCAACAACTATGTTTTTCACTGCTTCTTTTGACCACAATAAATAATATATCAAGTTTAACCAAATAATATTTGATAGGCAATTTTATGAAAATTTTTAACATTGTCAGATATGCTTATTCAATTTAAAACATCGATAGCTCAGTAAATGTTGTACGGACATTCAAATATTATATATCAAAATCTAAGTTAGCCCTTTCTGAATACAATAAAACTTATTTGAGTGCAATAGTTTTGTAGTTTTTACATTACATTAAATCAAACAGTGCAAGTTTTTTTGGACACCCGGTACAATATCGTGTTTGCCATTAAAGTACTATTACACACATTTTTTAGATTAATATATATACCTGATGTGGGCTTAATGATTTGAAGCAAGGATGGTGGCAAGCTGCTATGCTTCACATGCACACACATGGCAAATGTGTTTCCCACTCTCATTGTTTTCCCTCTACAGCCAATACCATTTGATTGGATGTAATGCCGCATTGCTTCCGAAGTCATCTTTAGATCAGCAAACGGTACTGCTTTCGCCAACGATATAACAGTTATACCACCCCACCGCAATTGCAAGTCTTGGTGTGAACACTGGCTTTGAAGAATCCTTTAGACTATATAATATGTGTAATTATAGTCAATCAATAAAAAAGGGCATGCACTCAGTCTTGCATACCTCTACCATCAGCATATCTGTACACCTTCCTTCTTCAACGCATGCATTAAAAAGAATTTTTGATTTTGACTATTAAATGTTGACTAGAAATCTATTCCATTTAAGGTGGTCCAACATTGAAAACACTTTAGTTGTAACATAATTACCGTATATAGTGAAAGTTACACATGGTCAATTGTCATTTGTGCAGATGAGATAAAAAATTATACGCCACATACGGCATAGAGTGTAATAATTTATTTAAACCAGAGTAGCGAGCGAATCATGATTAATATACCTGGTTGCAGTGAACGAACAAACTTTATACTTAAAAGATATACTAAATAATAATTTGCATTAGTTGTATAATTCCATGATTAAGTGATGCGATATTGCAATGTACTAAAGGTTGTTTTCCACTTTAGACATATGTACACTTAGTGTCACTGTAGGCTATATTGTATCATTCTTTTGTGTGGCAGTCATCTGTTAATTGAGTGCTCAGAAACAAAGAGATATACCGGTGGTACCATTTCGGCTATACAATACAGTTGAAGTGGAAAACTGGTTTATAATATATACCTCTTCAGGGTTTTCTGATACGGCTTTGAACAGTTGTTCAAGACTTGTAAAAAATTGATCTTTTGCTTTTACTCTTTCCTCACAGCTCTCCAACGATTTCCCACATAGAATATCTTTGTATTCCGGCAACATAACATTTGTCATAAATAACAAAAGACCGTTCCAAAATGTATCCTTCAATTCCAGTTTGTCCAGAATCTAAATGCACACGATTATGAATCTACCGTTTATTCACTTTTGACCCATAATGGTCTCGTTTTCATGTGATATTTATACTCTAAGTGTCTATCTATCTCTCTATATAGCCTATCTATCTATCTATCTATCAACCTGCTCATTGTTACTGATTCATACAACCTGCCCCTAATATAGGGTGTAGGGCCATGCAATCTTGGTCCAGTCTAACTTGCATTTAATGATTTAATTACCTTTCCAGTTGCGAAAAGCAAAACAGCAATATTAATTTCTGAACGAACATCCAGTTTGTATGAAGTGATGATGGTTTGAATTATACATATATATATAAAATTATAATTTTTACAAAGTTATACAGTGTTCTCCGGATTGTAATTATTTGTTTTGAGCTTTCGACTCAGTACTTTGAGCCTTCATCAGAAAAATTGATCATTTGAATTTTCAATTTTTCAAAATTCAAATGATCAATCTTTGTGATGAAGGCTTGAAGTACCGAGTCGAAAGCTCAAAACAAATAATTACAATCCGGAGAACACTGTATAATTTTGTAAAAATTTTAAAAATACAAATACAAAAGACCCGAGATATTCGCAAAATGCCAACATCGCGAGAAATTTTGGGCGGGAAATTTTGAATTCGCGTGCGAATAATGACGGTGCATGCACGTCAGCAAACTATAGATCACGCCATTATAACGAACTGAATTTAATCGCCTGAAGATTGCCACAAATAGTGGCATGAAACTTAAAGTAGCGAGAAATTGAAACATTTTAAGATAACAAATTAATTCGCTCTGCTAATTAATTTGTAGTATTGAGCACTCTTTTATCTATAACGAAAAACAAAACTGTTATATATATATATATATATATATTTGAAAATATTTTCATTGACATGTCATTGTTTACTTCTATAGTGGAGCAATCTAACAGCAATATTGAAGAAGCAAACAACACTGTGACTGATGCTGCCATTCTGGTATATGAATCGGAGCCATCTCCACTGGCTACAGGTAGAATTATTAATTATATAATTATAGATTTATAGCATCTCGTAATATGTAGCATTATAGCTAAATTATAAAATATGAAAGAGGATTACTATTATCCAAGTATGTCAGTTAATGAAGTAATTAATCACACTATAGCCAGATTGATTCAGTTCTGAATACTTATGATATTTTTTTTTACATTTTAGGACACTATAATCTGCCACAAGATATTGGATCAAAGCCAGAAGGTCCCAGTCAACCCAAGCTCTTGACTTTTCCCAGTGATCATACAATTGCAAAGAAAAAAACTTGCCGTTTAAATCCTGAATGATACAAGAAGCATCCCGAGATATCATACAGTGCCTCAGCAAATAAAATAAATTTTCATTTCCTTCCCAAACAGAAAGAAGATAGATTCACAGTGAAAGGTTTTAATAACTGGGCATATGCTGTAGGTGATAAGAATAAGGGACTTGATAAACATCGAAAATGTGACAACCACCTTGCTGCAGTTAAAAGATGGGAAAGCTATCAGTCAAACCCTGTCTCCATTGAAGAGCGACTAACACCTGGCTGACCTGCTGTGGTAGATCATGCCTATTTTGCCAAGGTTAATTATATATACGATGGTTCTGCTTACAAGAGATTGCATTTTGTGGAGTAGAAGAGCATGATAACAAGTCCGACAGAAACCGAGGAAACTTTAGGGAATTGATGGATCTTGAGTTTGAACTTCATGGTGAATTTGAAGAACAGCAGTAAGCAATCATGAGCCAATACTCTATCCACGCTGATTACCTGAGTAAGACTATTTACACTGAGTTTATTTCCATCATGGCAACTGAAGTAAAGAAATCAATCTTCCAGGAAGTAGCAGCTACGAAATTCTACACGGTGATTGTTGATGAGTGTAAAGATGTATGTAACTTTGAAAAACTCAGTTTCTGTGTTAGGTATTCCATTGGATCCAAGCCCATTGAAAGATTTGTTCAAATTGTTCACTTATCTGAGGGTTCTTATGGTGCTAAAGCTATTGTAAAAGAAGTGGAGAAGCTTGTTACAGAATTGATAGGCTTTGGGTGCATGTTGACTGGCCTTGGTGCTGATGGGGCTTCTGTGATATCTGGTGAATGGACTGGTGTGCAAGCATTGCTAAAGCAGATATTCCCATGGCTTATTTACGTTCATTGTGTTACCCACCGATTGAACCTTGTTGTTGTGGCTTCATTGAAAGGGACATGTAAAACCATTCTCACCCTTGTTGATAAGTTGCATTCATTATTTAGTTCTGCAAAGACAAATTATGTTTTTATGAAGGTTCAGCCAGAAACCAAAGTCAACGTTATGGCTATGGCTAATGATGTGGCAACAAATCCTGGTCCTCGTTCTTCTATCGAGTGTTTATACCTGAACTCAAGAAGTCTTAATGCATTTGTTGAAATGGATGACAAACCCTCCGAAGTCTGCAAAATAGACGTATTTCAACAATTAGTCTATAGCAGTGACTATGTTGTTTGTGTTTCCGAAACCTGGCTCAACAACTCGGTCCTTGACAGTGAACTGTTGTGCCTCCGAGTTAAAGAACGAAGTGTCAACCAAACTAGACGATTATTATACAGATATTTATTCGGCCAGTTGGTGAAAAACTAAAGACAATTACACAACAATATATATTACAGTTACGAAATGAGACAGCGAACAATCTACAACACATTATACAAGAAAACACTTACATCTTTACTACGACCGTCTCCTTGAATAAGATAAACTTAGCGTAAGTAATGTAACTCCGTTCAATATATGTCCTTTGATGTGGCCTTATGCGATATGTCCTTCAATATGAATTAGATTATGCTGTCCGTTTTATTCGTATACATGAGTAATCATGCGTTACAATCATGCGTTATGTCAGTAATTAAACATGCAATCATCACAGAACTGTTAGCGGGTTATTCCATCTTTCGTCGAGATAGACTGGGAAGAACGGGAGGAGGCGTTTTAGTTGCAGTAAAAGAGACTATTCACACAAAACGTTGCTACGATGTTGAAAGAAATAATGTTGAATTTGTCATAGTAGAACTTTTCCAAGAGAATATGAAATCAATCTTACTTTACACTTTCTATCGTCCTCCAAATTCTTTGTTGGATTCCATACAACAACTAAATTCATCACTTGACGACAATCTTGAGTCCGCCTGCATTCTTCTTACTGGGGATTTCAACCTTCCTGCGATCGACTGGTCTCTGGATCATCCAAGCCCAACCAGCACTGGAGGTCATTTGGAAGACAAGTTCTTTGATTACGAGTGTGGAAATTTCGAACAGCTATGGAATGCGTTGACAAATACAACTTTCGAAGATATGCCATCAGGAAATATTGACCATCATTGGAATTGTTGGAAAGAATGGTTTCTCATGCATGTGAAAAATTATATTCCTATGAAAGTTGTGACAGACACAAACTCGCCACCCTGGATCGACGGAGAGATTAGACTTTTGTTGCCAAAGAAGTATGCTGCATTAAAAAGATTTCAACAGTCACAAACAAATGCTCGAAAACAAAAACTGCGAACTCTATCTCAATCTGTCAAATACCTAGTCAGACAAAAACATTGTGATTATCTTGAAAAAGTTAAAGATTCCTTTGCTGAAAATCCAAAGCTGTTTTGGAGATACCACAAGTCAGTGCATCATCATCGGGTGAGCAATGGACCTGAAATAGTTTATAACGGTGAAACGGCAAAGACTGCAGCCCATAAAGCAGAACTTTTCAATATGTACTTCTGTGTGTTTACATCTCCTCAATCAAGTACCAACCTAGAGGCTGTCACCCGTTTACATCCATTAAGAACTGAACTGCAACGTTCGGACATAGTAATCAGTGTAGACGAAGTTACCGATTATTTGGATACGTCGAAGGCAAGCGGTCCCAATGGTATACCATCCCGGCCTCTAAACGAATTTGCTGGACAAATAGCGCCAAGTCTATGCAATATCTTCAACCACTCACTGCAATCTGGTTAACTCCCTTCAGAGTGGAAATCAGCAAACATTACTCCGATACACAAGAAACAACAAAAAGAATTCACAGAAAATTATCGACCTATTTCCCTGCTCCCCATAGTGAGCAAAGTTTTAGAACAGTGCATCTACACTAACTTTTATTATCATATTTTACCTCTCATTGCTCCATGTCAACACAGATTTCTAAGAAATCGCTCCTATGTAACACAACTTCTATCAGTACTCCACACCATTGGGAAAAGTCTGGACAAGAACCTTGTTTACCTTGACTTCGCGAAAGCATTTGATTCTGTTGGCCATTCTACTCTTCTTCAAAAACTCAAATGTTACGGGGTGACCATAGATATCTTATATACACTAGATAGCGCATCTTTTTTAGTAAAATTGAAGCCAAGAATATTCCAGCGGCTACCCCCATTTGAATAGATGGCAGCCATGTTGGAGTTTCCCACTCGCTAATAAGCGCTTAAAAAACAACAATAACTTTCATCATTTAAATAGTTTGAAAATGTATTTGGAATAGGTTTAACTTAATGTTTAAGTTCCCTGTTTAAGAAATAGAAAACATATACAAGTCTTCTCATTTCATGGGAATATCATGAGTCTGCAATCACGGCTTCAATTTTTGAATTGCAGAATAATTAGATGCACTATCTAGTGTGTATAAGATATCTATGGGGGTGACTGGAAACCTTCTAGGTTGGTTTGCTGATTACCTTAACAATTGTCGTCAGAGAGTCGTTGTGGACGATGTCGCATCACGTTGGGCCCCTGTTACATCTGGAGTGCCGCAAGGAGTATCCTGGGACCTGTGCTCTTTGTAATCTTTATCAACAATATTCCTGAAGTGACTGATGGAACATCTCCAGTGCTGTTTGCAGACGACACTAAGGCTTACAAGGACATAAAATCGGTAACAGACTGTGAAAAGCTTCAGCAGACCTTAAATAAGTTAGATATTTGGACTTAAGACAACGTAACATTTAATGCTTCTAAATGTAAGGTACTATCAGTGACACATAAGAACGATCCAATAACCTATCCCTACCACATCAGTCAAAATGATTTGATGAGTTGAAAACGAAAGATCTTGGAGTAACCCTCTCCTACAAACTTCACTGGGAGATTCACATTAATGAGATCATGTCGAAAGCTAATAAGCAACTTGGTGTGCTAAAACGAACATGCTTATCATCAAAAAATGTCATCAGACGTTCATTGTACCTGACACTAGTTAAATCACAACTCTCCTATGCAACACAAGTTTGGTCTTCAAATCATCACAGTCAACTCAACAGAAGAATTGAAAGAGTTCAAAAAAGGAGAGCGACAAAATGGATCTTAGGAATAAAGACTGGTGAAATACCTTATGAACAACGGTTAATGACATTGAAACTATTACCTCTCACATACGACAGAGAAATCAAAGATCTTGTGTTCTTCTACAAGATGTTGTATGGCCACATCAACCTTAAAATGGACAGTTATGTTTCATTCATTGAACATAGATGCACTAGACTCAGTCAAGCTGCTAGTGTTGTGCTTCAAACACCCTTGCATAGAACAACGACCTTTCAATAGTCATACTTCAACCGGATAGTTAAACCATGGAACTATATATGTAGAGACATTCATCGAGATACATTCTCCAGTCCGATCTCCTTTAAAAAACTATCTTAACCGCAAATATACCGAACTTGTTAGGTCAGTCTATGATGTTGAGTTATCTTGTACGTGGTCACTGGTATGGAATTCTCCTTGCCACAGGTAATAGTTAAGTCAGTTTGTCATGTTTGTATATTTGTCTGTCTCTGTATGTAATGTCTCTGTCTATCATGTAAAGGCTAGTCTACATTCGGGAGGGTCTTTAGGATCGGGGTGGACGGAAAAGTTTTCAGTTAGTTTTGCGAGCTTTTGTTTGGAACCTCTGGTTTGGAACTAAATGAATTTAACGCAATGAAAGCTCTCCCGCCATTTCTGTTCAGCGGGGGATTTTCCTGTGTGGAAGCTGGCCTTTACCTTTACATGCATGTTCAATCTGTCTCTTAGTTTACTTGACATGTTCAGTTTCAGGAAATAGAGACATGTTTACTCAAACTCTCTGAAGCGGTGACTATTGTGAATTTCGAGTTAACTATTCAGTTTAATTTTTTGTTTGCCGGAACCCTTTAGCGAGTTTGAGATTGCAATGTTCTATTAGTTATCATGATTACTATTTTGGAGGTGGGTGTCCTGCATGGGACCTTTATAAGAGTCCCATTTGTACCTTACCTTTTTGGATCTACATTTGATATCTAGGTTATTTTAACTTAATGTAATATTTGTTCTGTTATATTGTTTTGTTTGTTAAAAATTGTGAATATTGATCCAAATAAAATTTGTTAAATTAAATTAAATTTAAAAAATTATGCAAGAATGATCTGAAATACAGTGGTCTGCCATGTTCTATGTATTAGATGTTATCTATGCAAGATACAAAGAAACCCTGATGACGCTGGTCAAACGTGCCGCAGACTCTGATGATGCTGCTATCATCGCTGGAGGGTTATACCATAAGCTAGCCAGTGGACACATGATCCTCACCTGTGTTGTTTTGAAGAAAGCTCTAGCTATAACCACAAACCTAAGTGATCTCCTACAAAGCTCACAGTTAGAATGGACAACAGGCCTCATAATATAGCGGACCACAGGACCATTGGTCCCAGAAAATTTTTGAGGTTGGCAGAAAAAAATGGAGGGTAAAACTTAAAACTCTCCAAAGAAAAAAAGTAAAGAGAAAGAAATGGAAAACAGAAAGGAAGAAAATGAGAAAAAATGACATAATTGAATAATAAGCTGTAGGTAGTGAACTAGTGATGTTTGCAACATGCAAGTAATACAAGTTTCCAATATACCATTACAGGCGGCACTCCAGAAGCCTGATATTATGGTCAAAGACAGGCAGTCTAGCAGATATTAAGACGAAGTCCTCAATGCAGTTGTTATAATTTATTTCATCTAGTGTATAAGCTACTTCTGAAAATACCACTCCAGTTATATATGAATACAACTCATTTAACAACTACAGTATGTGGATTAAAAAGTCTACAAGTGCAGTGATTTCTTACAATGTAGCAAAAATCTAAGCAATATGTTCCAATACACAACAGCCTTCTGCCCTTCTCATGAACTTTCATCCATTAAGATGATATTCATAACAAATACATTAAAATTATAAGAATCTAGAATCTTAAACTGCAGACAAGTTCCAGCAGTCACTTTCATCATCCATTAAAATGTAAATGTTTGTTGTTAAATAAAAATATAAAGAATATTTATTTGAAATACGTCAACCCTGCTGGCAGTGGTTTCGGAGCTGAGGAGAGACCACTGCGAGCAAACAAACGACTTTCTATCGAGCATGCACGAAGATCACGTTGTACGTCACTAATTTGACTTCATTTCCTGTAGTTTGACAGTTTGTTATCTGTACATAAACAAGCGTGGCATAGTACTGTTTTACTTGTTGTCTGTCAGTTTTAATCGAATGACTTTTTATTCTACATGCGATTCACAATTTATGTATCAGTTTTAATATTATTATTGTCAGTAGTAAAATCTTTTGAAATCGGTGCCTCACCCTACAGCTACAAATTGTGCATTTGAATTCCTGTTATATCATTTAAAATTCTTGTATTTATCCAATCAATATCAATTTTTAAAATTCGATCTGCAAACTTTATTTGTGTTACTTAAACGTTGGAGATTGTGTTAACACTTTCAATAAATTCCAATTTCCAAAGTTTCCAAATAATATAATATAATAATGTTTTCAATTACTGTTTGACAATTATTGCAATTTTTGATGTACAAATTTCAACTGATCAAAGATTGTTGTGACGGCACTACTGTTTCTGTAAAAGGTTGATTTTTGTTGCACTGTGTGAATTTATAGTTACTCTGTTGAACTGTAGGCGGTTTTCAAGTCATCTTAATGTATAATTTCAAACATTTTATTCAATATTTTGTAAAGTTATGATATTTTGTAAAAGGTAGTTTATTAATAGCATGTTACTATATTTAGAGCGTGATTGTGTTGTTTTTGTACAACTGGCTTGCATTTTACCAGCAATACACAACAACAACAAAAACTTGTTTTACCGGTTTCTCATTTCATGTATTAACGTCCATGAATATGAACGGCAGCTACATGAAATGATTGTTCTTTTGTTCACAGTGGTTTCTCCTCAGCTCAGCTAGAAACCACTGCTCGCAGGGTAAAATATGTCTATTTTGGTTTCAAATCTAATGAAATGGTGCATAGAATACACTGAATTTTGTTTAGTGATCAAATTTAAACATAAGATGATTCCCAGTGTTTGCGTGCAGAAAATATTTTTGTTGGCTTTGTGGTCCCAGAAAATAAAATATTTTATGCAGCCCTGATTATTTTATTGGACAAGTGCAGCTCAAGAGATTGAGATGTGTAAAACACTTCTCACTGTTCTGAAAATATGAGTCAATCCCTTCCATCATAGATGAAGCTAAAGCTATTGGTGGGGAATGTGCAATACCCCTGAGCCTAACTTCTCCTGTTTATAGGATAAGATCCCACTTCAGTGATACAGAAGTTGATGTCTCTAAATTCACCAAGGATTTTGTTGTGAAAGTGTGTGACAAGATTTCAGCGGAGATGATTTTGAGATTCCCTCCCGAGAACATGGTTATTTTGAAAGGCATGAATTCCTTGAATGCAACCAGTGCAAGGTACCTTGATGAACAACTGCTATCACAGTTGGTAGATCACTACGGCACTGATATTTTGGATTTAAATAAAACACTGCTTCAGCTTGAGGTACAGAAATTCAAACTGCAGTGTGACCCCAACATTCAGCTCAATGCAACCAACGTGGATCCAAAGTTCTACCCGAACTTGATGAAACTTTTCCACTTAAAGTGAAGGTTGCCAGTTTCTTCTGCAGAGCCAGAAAGAAGTTGCTCAACAATGAAACGAGTCAATACACCGCTGAAGAATAGACTAACAGATGAAAAAATGTCTGATTTATGCCTCCTGTCATCTGAAAGGGATATCACAAAACGGCCAATCGGCTTATTTTTTTCATGCTCTTTCAGATGAAGCAATATAATTTTTTTGTTGCTAATACCCTTCAACAATGATGTTATTAACATTTTTAATGACAAGTCATGACGCATACCACTGCGGGCAGCACAGCACTAATCGTTGCTAGTCTTGCTTGACTAATATTGTATTTGAATTTTAATTGTTGTTTACAGTTCGCTTATGATCTCATCACTCAAATTACTGTATCTCATTTAGTCTCTAATATTTTTTTGCTTTATCATGAAAAATAGCACACCCCCCCTGGCCAGGGCTAGGGGAGTGTGCACCCCTCCCAGTAAATCCATCCCTGGGTTGGGTTCTCATTCTGACTGCTGGCAGCTTGTCAGAAAACAGCTCAACCATAATACTTGTATGCTTTAGCAAACCAATTGATTCATTCAATCTTGTTGTGTTTCCGTCGTTTACCATGATTTATAGGTGTTCCTTATAAGCCTGCAGTTGAAATGTACAAAGTTTTTATAAGTGTCATATAGCGAAAGCAATCTCATTCTATTCACATAAGGAAACCGGCAGCGTTTGAGAAGCAATTTCAAAAACTTATATTTTATCACCTAATACAAAGTTATTGTGTCAAATCACTTGTTTTAATTTAAACATACATACATACACACATACATACACACATCATGGTGATGCAAAATTGCGGCTCGAAACTACAAATTTCCACCTTTGGGATTTGAGCGTAAAACTGACAAAACAAATTTCCATGGGCATGAGTTTTCAAATTTCAGAATTTTATGTTACATTTTGCTGAAGTATTTGTTATTTATCAAAAGAGATGTTTCAATTCACAACAGAAGAAAGAGCTTGAAAGAGCTTTTATCTATTTTGCAGTTTACAGAGAACTTGGGTAACATTTAATTGGGGATTGTTTCTAGGCTAGTCTGCCCCCAGCGTGTAGTTCGTATGCACAAAGAACATCAGTGTTACAAATATATATATAGTTTTTCGTTTTACCTCAAAAAACCAAGACACTCTGTTTCATCCGTATAGGAATCATCAGGTGCAAAAATGTAATGATAATTGATTCCTATATGGATGAAACAGACTGTTGTGGTTTTTTTGAGGTAAAACGAAAAACTATGTTACGCTCTATGGTATTGAGCACTGTTTGTGTTTCGTAGACCAGAAACGTAAGCTATATATATATATAATTCTTTGCATAATACATGGTTGTTTCTTTACAGACGCTGATCAATGTAAAAAGACCAAAGTAACTTAATTGAAAATGAAGCAGGCTAAATCAAAAGGTACATGAATGTTTTTTCAGCATTGTTGTGCATATCTTAAGGATAATTTTTCAATCGATAGTAATTATATGTTTCGTATGCTAAAATTGTCCCAATAAATAATCAAGGAAGATTCTAAAAACAAGAAAGTATTCTTCCTGTATCACCAGTACGTTACGGTTCTGATATCAGCATATGCTAAGCTAATTCACCTTTTCGATAATTATGTGACGCATGCTTCATTGTCCTAGAAGCCTCGCCGTCATGAATAAAGATAAGAGTGTATTGGTTTAGGAAATTCGAAAACAAGGTTCCCAGGCCAAGGAGATAGTTGTGACATAATTATCGAAAAGGTTTACTAGTATTAGAAAAATGGATTGGCAAGCTTTAAATTTATAACCTTCCAGCTTTCTCTGATTCTGATGAGTTGGTGATACTATAATTGCAATCTTCTTTTTTATTAGTTTACATCATCACGGCGGCAGAAGCTTCTTTTGCCAGAAAGAATACGCAAAAATGGTCCAACATCTTGAACAAATACACAGTGGTGAAGAGGAGGTTAAGAAAGCCATAGCATACGACCCTAAAGACCCGAAAAGAGTTCAACAATTTGAAAAGTTATGCAGGATGGGCAACTTTAATCACAACATGAAAGTGCTTGATATCAAAGAAGGCAAATTAAAGGTGGTGAGAAGGCCTCCTGCAAATACTGAAGCAAATCCAAATGATTACTTACCCTGCCAGTATTGCCATGGTTTTTTCTGATAGACGAACTTAAGAGACATGCACCGAAATGTTCTTGTAACGAAGAAGAAGAAAGTACAGGATCGAAGCGCATGAAGTATGAGGGAAGAGTTATGCTTGCAGCTAGTGGTCAGTTTGCTTCGCGAAGTACCAAATTGCTGTCGGATTACATAATCCCAAAAATGGCAAGCGATGTGGTAAGCATTGTAGTACAAATCAATCAAACTATCCTGAGGGTTGGAAGCCAACAGTTGGAGAAAACAGGAACGGAGAAGGCGTCGGAGGTGTCGCAGAAAATGAGGCTTATAGGCAGGGTGGGGTGAAAATTAATGGAAATGAGAAGGCGTCACTAGAAGACCTTCTAAAACCTGGAAACTTTGATACCCTCATCTGCTGTGCACGAAATATGGCTGGATACGAGGAAAATGCAGCCAGCAACTGCAGTCCACTGTGGTTATGAACTAAAGAGGGCTGCAATGATCCTACGATGATGCCAAGCCCTGCAGGAGAAAGACATTGGAAAGAAAGATGATGTTGATATTTTCCTGCAATTATATGAGGCTGAGTGGCACCAGTAATGTTAAAATGCCTGCGTTGAACCACTTGGCCCTGAAAAAGCACAACAAACCTCAGGTTTTACCACTTACAAGCAGCGACCTTTTGGCGGTATGAAAATACATCATGGAAAGAATATCAGTTCTGACGAAGAAAGTCACAAGCAATCCGACGAAGAAAACTGGAGAGAACTAGCCGAAATCTGTCTAACGAGGCTAATTATGTTCAATAAGAGATGTGGTAAATATTTTTGTTACGCACTCATATGTTGTTGGATGAGGTTGAGTTTTATGTTTGAAATTATTAAGATCAACAGCAATGTTATCTAATTCCGAATGCTAATGCTTCGACAAATAACATTTGCAGGGGTCCGAATTATTCAGGATATAATTCTGTGACACACACAAATAAAACAGAATTAGTGGTATATCGGCAATTAAGAGTTGCAAAAAAAGATTATCTGACAAATTGACATTTTCTTGTCCATTAGGGGGTGAAGCTGACAAGATGATGGTGGAGATTTTTGAGTCACAACCAAACTGGAACAACCAGCAAAATGAAGAAATATTACAGGTAATAATAACTACAGTATAGTTTGTGTGGGAAAAGTGGTCTTCTTTCCAAATCAATCATTTGCAGAACTACTGGAGAGTAAAATTTGTTTGATTTCTTTCAAATTTTATTGTGCCTAACCTATTTTCTTTCTCTTTAAATGAAAGCAAGGCTATTCGTATTTTATGCTGCACTCCGGGGGCGGTTCTTCAAAGCACTAGCAGCACTACATCTGGGTTAAAGTGGCACTTTCTCGATATATGCGCAACTGAAATCTGGTATATATAAATTAATACACGTGGTTATGGTTAGAATAGGGTTGTCCAAATATAGAGAAAGTGCCCAAAACGAACTAACAAAAATATAAGGTGGTGGTACATAATTTAATCAAGTTCAGATTATTATAAAATGCATATAGTAATCGTAAGTAGTAAAAGTTTAATTATATATAAGAGCCAACTGAGCAATTCTTCCAATTTTTAAACAACAACCTGTGATATGTTATTTTTATTTTGTTAGATTCTGAAGCAATTGAGGAAGGCTCTGGAAGGGTAGAGAAAGATGGTATGTATCCCAACTACTGATTTCGTTTTCACTTTTTGCCTGACAAAAAGATTGATCAAGCAACCCATAACCTACTAAGTCTGAAGTGAAAAAGTTATCGTTATCAAAGGAAAAATGTTATCTGAGGTTAACATATTTCAATTTGTTTAGTGCATGCACAGTGAAATGGCCAAAAGGGAAATTAATGAAATGCCTTTCCATTATCTTTGTCTGTGAAAATTATATACATAATCTATTTTAAAACAGATGGACCAACATCTTCGCAAATAGAAGAACTAATTGCTAGTCATATGGCTGGGATGTCGACAGAAAAAAGTAAGTATGTTGGTCATAAAAAATCTCTCAAAGCTATTTTGGTTAACATATACTAGTGCGGTTCGGAGAAATGTTTCCTTGACGAAATTTTGAATATTGATGCAGGAAATGCAACTAAAATTTGGCATTTCATAGCCTGCCAGTGCTCTTGATAGATCATTTTAGATCTACGCCCGGCACACCGGTTCAATGATGCACTCTTGACCAAAAAGGTTTTTCATGTAAATCAGAAACTGTGAATAATTTGTGGCACCAAAGGTATCCTCAACGGCTTTTTCATTCTCAACACAACTTTAAACCGGCTAAACATTATCGTCTTTCGGAGAAACGTGAAAGCTTATTGCATCCCAATAGATGTCATTTAAAAGTCCAAATTGCAGCAAACATCGCCGATTGATTTAACAGAACTTGTACGATATGAGGTTATGTGAAAAATTAAAACTTTTGTTACAGTAAACAAATTGCTCAGTTCTCATATTTTAGCTGAAATTCAAACCGCCCGGCCTCGTCGTAGATCTTAAACTTGCTTGATCGTTTCCCGCAATTCTTGCTCTATTCTTTTATAATATTAATGTGCAAAACACCACGTATATTACACTGGTCGGCTGGAGAAAATCTCTGCGTGCACTTTGCCACGCAAAATCCGGCTTTGACTATTTTGACTAATCGACAGTAACTCAAAATCATGAGTACTATGCATAACCCGCAGTGTCTCAAAATAGTGAGTAAACTACTTAAAGTGCATATGACACAAAACTGTTTATTGTCTTAAGAGCGACTGTCCGTAAAAATCGAGCAAACAGTGGCAATAGATGAAAAATAGATTGCTTTCATATTTTGCTCAAATTTAGGTAATACCTAGTTATAAATGGTGTTTGGGTTAGATATTCAATATTTGGTCGATAAACGTACAAATATCAGAAATCAAGAATTTGTCTCCGGAGGCTGTAATTAGCCGCAGACAAAGCCGTTGCCATGGTCAATTTCATCACTTCGCGACAGATTCAAAACTGCCCGTAGATAGTTTTGATGGTTTGATGACTATAATTCAAGTATTAAAGAATAGTTTTATCAATATAGAATGGCCCAGGAGGCTTTAACTGGCCTGACAGACGTTGTTGAAATTGGCTATTTTTAGTCAAATTTTACAATTTCATTTTGTCTCTGGATTTGAAGGGGAAATTTACTATGTGCGATAATCGTGAATTTGTTTATATTTCATCCACGGAATGGTATGGCATGAGTATATGTTATATATAAAAACTAGCTTGGGTTATTGCCTTGGAGCCTCACGCGAGACTTTTAAAAAAGCTCATTTTGGTGATTTCCAGTGGAATGTAACACAATTAAATCATTAGGCCCATACGTCTATACGAGAGTCACGAAGCTCAAATTGTTCAAAACTTTGAATTTTGTGTTTCGATATCAATGTATATGCTTTGTATATTTTATTAAGAATCGTTTAGAAGGATTTTCAATATATTTTAGTGATACAACAAAAGCACAACAAATCATCATATCATTACTAGACTGTAACGTTGCTATTTATAGCAATTTGCGTGTTGTTACTGAATGTATATTTAATTTGTCTGCAGTCTGTAAGGTTTTGAAGTCTTATAATTCTCATTTTTGTTTAATGCTTTCTCTGCATATGTAAACTAATAGAATTAAAGCTATAGGTAAATACAATAAAAGTACATAAGTT